GAGAAAATGAAGAAAGAGCTGACACTGTTCAAAAAGAAATGTACTGATTACCTGACCTATGTAACTGTAACCCTTCTGTACATCACCTTTACAATAAAGTAAAAATAAAAGAAATTCGGTGTGTGTTTTCTAGGGGTATGTTATGCAAATTCTAATGACTTTAAATATAGGAAAAAGGCAAATTATAAATCCAAGGAACACAATAATCCACATTCTCTAAAAGAACTTCTCAGTTGTCATCTATAATCTAGACTCAGCCTTTCCTTCTTTCTTCATTGGTAGTAATGGCGATTGAACTCAGGGCCTTGCACTCTTATTAAACAGGTATTCTTACTGCTGAACCACACTTCTGGTCTTGATTTTAGCTCTTTTCTTGTCAGTTGTAGGGCTTGAACTCTATGTCTGGGCTGTCCCTCAACTTTTCCACTCAAGGCGAGCACTCTACCACTTGAGCCATAGCGACACTTCCAATTTTCTGGTGGTTAATTGGAGATAAAAGACTCATGGACTTTCCTGCCTGGGCTGGCTTTGGACCATGATCCTCAAATCTCAGCCTCCTGAGTAGCTAGGAGTAGCTAGTATTACAGGCATGAGCCACTGGTGCCCAGCTTGCTCATTATTTTTAAGATAAGACCTTGCTTCCTGCCCAGCTATTCTGGACATGATCCACCTGTAGTAGGCTACCAAGTATCTATGATTACAAGTATGAACCACTGTGTCCAGCTGAAGACTGGTGTACCTTTCTGCCCAGACTTGCCATCAGCTCATGATCTAAAGCTTCTAAGCTAGGATTATAGCTGTCATCCATTGAGGCCCAGCACGGGATCAGGTATTGAATGTTCTCTCGGGCAGCTTGTCCAGTGTCCTGATGTGATTTTTTTTAAGGTCCTGGGACTGAATTTGCTGGGCAGATGTTCTATCATGTGAGCTATGCATCTAGCCCCTGATACATATTTTTAAAAGCCAACCAAGTTTTCAAACATTAAAAATAAAAACAATCTCAGAGATTATTTTAGACTTCTCTGACTCCGTGACTCCTCTCTGCTTTTTTTTTTTTGTCAGTTGTGGGGCTTGAACTCTGGGCTTGGGTGTTGTCCGAGTTCTTCAGCTCAAGGCAAGCACTCTACCACTCTACCACAGTGCCACTTCTGTTTTCTGGTGGTTAATTGGAGGTAAGAATATCATGGACTTTCCTGCCTAGGCTGGCTTTGAACCATGATCCTTAGCTCTCAGCCTCCTGAGTAGCTAGGATTACAGGCATAAGCCATCATCACCTAGCTCATTAAAGGTGAAGTAACTGAGCCCAAGTTGTAAGTTAAAACTCTCTAGATAATGGCCTCGTGGGTGACTGCCTGAGTCTTCAGTATGGTGTGAGGCACGTACATTGTTTCATTTAATCTTTTCCAAATCCTACCAAGTGGTATGATTATTCCCATTCTACAAATGCTGTAACTGAGACCCAGAGAGGTAAAAGTCACATGACTATAGTAGGCTCAGTTTGTAATTAGAGTTGTCAGGATCTAAACCCAGCACCTTAGATAAAACTCTGGAGTAATATTTATAGTATGCCTGTGTATGTTTAATGCCAGATCTCTAAAGAAAAAAGCCCCAATTAGTCATGAATATAATTCCCTTCACAGCTGATTTCAAACCACCAATGTGGTATCACTGAACATAGCCAGTGCAGTCCTGAGAGCCACGGCCTGTGTGGGAGAAGAGCAAAGCTGTCCCTGGAAACAGGTAAGACTGGACTAAATGTTTAGGGCATTGTAAGAGCTGAAGCTCTTCTCTTTCAAGCTGTGATGATAAATAATGGTTGCTTCTTTGAAATCATCAGCATTGTTACCAAGAAGAGCAAATATGATGCGGCTCCAAAAGAATAGGAGAAATGATACCATATAGGCAAATGAGCTTCTTTATACATCCAAATTACAGTATGTGATATGGATCCCAAATGCCTATGAGTTCTACAAATAATTGGGACCAAGTGGGGAAATAAACAAGTCTTACAGCAGCCTTTGAGATTCATATCCAGTGAGCTGGACATCTACATGGAAACAACAACAAAAAAAGTATAGGGCCTTATCTGGAAAATAACTAAAAGAAGTACTATAGGTGTGGTTCAAGTATCTGCCTAGCAACTGCAGGCCCTGAGTTAAAAACCTCAGCACCACCAAAACAAAAAGATCAGAGATTGATATCCAGCCTCACCCTCCCAAGATGAACCCCCTTAGCCTCCCAGGTAGCTGCAAGTGAAGGGCTCTGGGTCCGACAGCCTGCTTATAATGCTGGCATAACCTTGTGTTTGCCCACATGTGAAACCGTCTTCACCAAAAGCTCACACAGTTCAGGTGGATGATGGTCTCCTACACTTTCACAAGACGTGAAAGAATGGCTCATGATAAGACATGACTATAAACCTGAAAGATACACTGATGACAACCAAGGGATCCCTGAGGCCCAGGCGATTGAAGAAACAGTAATTGCATATGACCTTTACTGTGGACCAAGCACTACAAAAGACTTAAGCCACCTCTCCACTACTGTATGGAGATGGTACCATTTTACAGAGACCCCATTTACCTGGGCCAGCCAAGGCACAGAACAGAGAAGTAAATGGCCCAAGATCACATCATTAGTTAAGTATAGAACTGAGATCTGTGCTCAGGCAAACCAGCTCTAGAGCCTGTCTGCAGTTAAATTCTTAATAAATGATAGTTACAGTTCATTTATCAGATGGGAGATGGGTGGTTATCAGAATGATCCAAAACAACTGAAATATCATCAGTGGCATCATTGTGGTTTAAAGCAGAAAAGAAAGTCATGGCATTAAAAAGTACTGGTACTAGATGTGGCTCGGTGGCTCACACTTGTCATCCTAGCTACTTGGGAGGCTGAGAATATGAAGTTCTCAGTTCCAGGCTGGCCCACGCAGAAAAGCCCATGAGACCCCATCTCAATGAAAAGAAATTGGGCCTGGTGGTATGTCCCTGTCATCCCAGCTACAAGAGGAAGCCTAAAATACTAAAGTAGGCAGATTGATGAGGTCCAGACCTGGGCCCAGCAGAAGTAAAACCCTCTCTAAAAAATAAAAAAAAAGAACCCCAAGCAAACGGAGCTGGAAGCATGCTTCCAGTGAGAGATAGTTTGCCTAGGAAGTGTGAGGTCTTGAGTTCAAACCCCAGTCCTGCCCACTCCCCTCACTTAAAAAAAATGACCGCACTTCCTGCAAAGTGTCAAAGTGATGTTAGCCGTAAGAAAACCTTAAGTATAAAATAAGATAAAGAGACACAATGAAGAAATGAATTAAGTTCATCATAGTGTGTCAGAATAGTATTCAATCTAAGTATTTATTACTGAACCTTGTCATTATGCAACTTCATTTTATATGTTTTTTTTCTCTACTGTTGAAAGTGGATGTGTGAAAGTGATCAGAGACCATCAGCCATATTAAAAGTGTTTGGAACTGAAATAGTTCAAGGGAAATGAATCAATTAGTTTTGTAATCCATGTTTAAGTGCTCCAGGAAAGCTGGAATCACAGTCTTGCTTTTTACATAGTAGACTCTATCAGCCAACCTTGCCATCATCTCTGGGCAATCTCCATTCCTGGAGATTCCTCTGCCTCTACCCAGGCAATTCAAACCACCCAGTTCCCCTGTCTTTAAAATAGGGGAACAATCATCACATCTAATAATACAATCTAATTCAGAGGGCATCCTTTGTAATAAAGAAAGAACAATACTTGTACATTAAAACTTGGGTGCTTAGTAAGAGCCAGCATTGTCACCCCACTGTCACCTACTCGCATGTCCATGCAGTTTGATTCCGACTACGTAATCCTAAAAAAGTTCATCGGTGTTGCCCCGCTAAGCACACAGCAGATCCAGCATCTGACACTATTCCTCAGGTTTACATCATACAGAGCATATGTGGAAAGTCACCAGCAACGTCCTGCACACATTCCATACTTAAGAAATGTCACTACCTTTGCTTCTGGCTTCATCGTGATCTGCCAGGCTGTCACCCTGGGGAGGGGTTGATAATGAGGAGCCCTGACAAGGACAGCTGTTGGCAAACCAGCCTTTTCATGGAATCTGTAAAGGAAAAGGCTCAATGCCAAGTTCTTAATAAAGAGCCTTTGGAGCAAATAGATTGTGGTTCTGCTTTTAATAACATCTGACCTCCTCTGATTCTTCCAATGCCATCATTTCCTTCCCTGGAACTGACACAAAATCTCCAGTGACTTTCAAAAAGCCAGAGGCAAGAATATTAAGAACCTTAAAAAGTTTCAGGTGGAATTAAGTCATCTCTGAAACATGTTCATACTCTATATCAGAAGAAGAGTGCTAGATGGGAATCCCATTTGGGGGGCCTGACCCTGGCATTTATTCATCTGGGTGACCCTGAACAAGATTACCTGCCTTCTCTATTCAGGGCCTCACACTTGCATGGCTTACTTGCTCACAGTTAGTGCTCTGCCACTCAAGCCCTGACTCCAGTCTGGCATTTTACAGGTTAACTGGAGATGGAGTCCCACAGCCTTTTCTGTCTGGACTGGCTTTGAACTTTGATCCTCAGTTCTCAGCCTCCTGAATAGCAGGAGGTTTACAGGCAGGAGCCACAGCACCCAGCTTGTGTCTTGACTTTCTCTAAATAACTAAAAAAAGGCATGGGAGGCATGTATGTGGAAGTGCTCCATGAATTAGAAAGCCCTGTACAAATGTGGGGAACTATCAATATTAATAAACAGCTTGTCAGACTTATTGAGCAATTCTTGATTCAGACAAATAAGAGCCAAAAAGCAGAGATGAAAAGCAAGCTGGAGTATGGAGAGTGAGATGGGAAAGGGAAGGGAGCTGTCAGTACCTCATTTGCAGAGCTGGCAGTTAACCTTCTATCAATTTTATAAGGCCAGGAAATAACCATATTTTTAATTAAATATGGGCAGCAGAATCAGCAATATATAATTTAATGGTAGGGAAGATGCCAACTTCTTACCTCTCCTTCTAAGAAAGATATCTTCTCCAAAAGCTGCAGTATTAAGAGCTGTTTCTGTTGTACCTTTTTCTTTAATGATTCAATCTAGAAAGAAACAAATGGAAAATGGTTAAATCAAAATTGTGGAAGTGTACAAGTACAAGTCAATCAACTAGGAGAGAGCCATTTGGATAGCATTTGGACAGAAGCTATACACAGTGTATTTCCTGGAAATATTTCCTAGCAGACGTGAAATACTCTTTAAACAAGACAATCTATGACGGGGGGGAGCCAGAGCATCTCAGACAGGCACTTCAGAATTGTATCCACTGGGTTTGTCTAGTGCACCATCTCTCCATTGGTTGTATTGCACCACTCTTAATAATGTCTCATCAACGTGTAAGAAATGTCCATAAAAGCTGGACACCACTGGCTCATGCTGTAATCCCAAGATACTCAGGAGGCTGAGACCTGGAGGATGGAGGTCCTAAAGCTACTTTGGACAACAGAAATGTCCACGAGACTCTATTTCCAATGAACTGGCAAAAAGCCAGGCTGGATTTATGGCTCAAGTGGTAGAGTGCTAGCCAAGCAACCCAATACCACCAAAAAAAAAAAAAAAAGTTGAAAGTTGATTGAAGCTAACTTCTACAGCTAATAAGGACACAGAATGTCAAGTCTAGAATGTCAGAACTTTGCAGTTGATTCTGACCTAAAACAGGGGAGGAGCGTGTATGGGGTGAGGAAGATAGGAACTCATACTTCTTGGCTTGTTTGAGCCACATCTCAATTGGAGATGGACTCGTGGGTTTTCTGTCTCCCTTGGCCTTGAACTGTGATCCTCGGATTTCAGCCTCCTGAATAGCTAGGATTACAGGTGTGAGCCATCATATGGATCTTAGGGACAATGGCAGCAAACTCTCTTGTCTAAAAGCCATGTTCTTAAACCACACTTCCTGATCCCCTTGATTCTAAAATCTACACTGAATCCCTCAGAAGTAGCAAGCACTATGCAAAATGTTATTTGATTAAATATCACCTCTCATATCCTTCTGAAGCTCTTAGTGATTTTCGGTGTCCATAGTTAAATACCTTCCTCACTTAAAATTTTTAAAATTCAAGTTTTAAACAATATTTGTTATTGTAGGAAGGAATAAAAACAGCATGATGAAGATAAGTTTTGAAAACGAAAGGAAATTTATACACTATTTTCTTTTTGCTCCATAATCTTACTTCAACCCCACAACTATTTCATTTATCCAACTTCTCTTCTAGCTTTTACCTTCACTGTGGTAAACTTTGGTGTTTCTGTCCCTTGAGGTTTTATTGTAAACACTTTTCCATTGCGTAATGTATTTGTATTTTTTTTAGCATTCATGTAATATACTCCATCAAATTGATATTCCATAATTTATTGCCTGTTCCTTTAGTGCTAGGCATTAAGGTTATTTCCATTTTCTCTCTATTATAAATAATGGGAGCAAGAACATCTTTATATATATGGCTTTTTTCCTGAAGTTTGAGTTATATCCTTAGGATAAAGTCCCAGGAGTGGGATTAGTGGGTCAAAGGGTCTGAACAGCTTTATGGCTCTTAATATTTATTGCTAAAGTGCCTAGAGGGTCGTTCTAATTCACAGTACCACCTGCAGCACAGGCCCTGCTGTACTGCCTCCTCCAGCCGCTAGTTTGGGGTACATTTAATAGGTACAAAAGGGTCACACCTTGCTGTTTTTAATCAGCAATTTCTTTCATTATTATCAACATTAGACACGTAAGTGTGTTTCTTCTAGTCTTCTATATATTCTATTTTTCATGATTTGATTTTCTTGATACTGCATGGAATTCAAAATACTTCATGAAGAAAATGCCAAGTGCATCCAGATCCGAGAGAATAAGCAAAGCCTACGGAACTTGTTCCCCAGGTTCAACAAATAGCAAAATTTGCTCATCTTTGCTTTACCCCCATTTCTTCTTTTCTTTCTTTCCTTTATGTAACTTTTTAAAGCAAACCTAGACAATCTGTATATGTTTCCTGTATACTTCACTGTGCATCTCTCAACATGAGTTTCTTCCTTTCTTTTTCTTCTTTTTTATCTTTAAGTAGTTGTACAAAGGAGTTGCCATTCGACAAAGCAGTTTATGAACACAACTCATCTTGATCAGTGTCACTTCTTTAATCATTCTCCCTCACCCCTCCCACTCTTACCCCTTTCCTAAATTTTGTAGGATATGCATTGAATTTTATGACTACATTCTCCCCTCTTCCTCTCTGCATTTGTCTGCCCCTCCTTCCCTCTCCTCCTTTCTTCCCCTTTCTCTTTTCCCTCTCTCCTTATCTCCACCTCCCTCTTTGCTTTTTCTTTCTCTCTCTCCTTCCTTCCTTCCTTCCTTCCCTGTATATATGTTAGTTCTGGGTCTTGAACTCAGAGCCTGGGCACTGTCCTTTAGCTTTTTCTGCTCAAGGTTGGTGCCCTGACACACCCCCATTTCTGTCTGGTTAAATGGAGATAAGAGTCTCATGAACCTGACCTAGGTTCAAACCATGATCTTCCTACAATCCATGCTGTTCATGATCTTCATACTGGGCTTCCTTAGTAGCCAAGATTACCGGTGTGGTTTGCCACTTTCCTTTATGCAAGATATCTTACATATCTGTTTAGGGTACCAATTATATTATGTAATTGATAAGTGATTCTCTCTCTGATGAGGAAAAACCACCTTATCAACCAGCACATTTTTTTTGGGGGGGGGGTCCGGTCGTGGGGCCTGAACTCTGGGCCTGGGCGCTATCAACCAGCACATTTCTATAAGCAGATTGTGGAGCTTCTGTCAACCCGACCAAAATGATATTGCACAAAAACTTAGGGTTCCAGAGTGCCCTGGAAAGTTATGAGACTTCTCTGCTTCTGGGTTCCTCGCCTCTCTACCCCCTCACATTAGTAATATATGGTAGGACTCAGGCCATTTCAAGTCAGATGTCAGAAAATGACAGCTGTATACAGTGGGATCATGTGACCAGTACCAAATTGTACAAGACTCAGGAAACGTAACTCAATAGTGAACTCAGGGACTATGAAGAGAAATTAAGGAAGAAATACAACAGCAAATAAGCATTAAATAGAAGACAGCAATTGACACAGGTTATTATTGGGCTTTCTTTTACCAGCTGAGAAATGAAAACAGAAATGGAAAGTGCTTTATCAAATAAGAAACCCACTGAAGCAGAGGTATGCAAGGGTACATCAGCTTCATTATACAATCAGAGTGCACATGTGCTGAGTAAAAAAAAAACAAAAAACTCTTTAAAACCATAGAAGCTGGGTGCTGTTGGCTCATGTCTATGATCCTACTTTTTGGGAAGATAAGAGTTTGAGGATAGCCAGGGCAGAAAATGGGTCCTGAGATGCTAGGATCAGTGGTATACACCTGTCATGTTAGGTACAGTGGGAAGCTTGACACAGGCAGATTGTACCTACACAGTACTCTGACAAGTAATGAAACCCTAGCTCAAAAACTAGACAGCAGCCGGGAGCTGGTGGCTCATACCTGTAATCCTAGCTACTCAGGAGGTTGAGATGTAAGGATCACCATTCAAGGCCAGCCCAGGGAGGAAAGTCTATAAGACTCTTATCTCCAATAAAGCACTAGAAAACCAGAAGTGGTGCTGTGGCTCAAGCGGTAGAGTGCTAGCCTTGAGCTGAAGATCTCAGGGACAGCACCCAGACCCATAGTCCAAGCCCCACAACCAACAACAACAACAACAAAAAACTAGCCAGCAAAATTAGGGCTGGAGGTGTGGTAAAAGTACCTGTCTAGTAAGAACCTAAGTTGAAACCCTATTGCTACTGCCCCCCAAAAAAGGAAAGAAAAATAAAAGACAATCAAAAATTTTAAAACAAAGATTAAAAAAACAAAAGTGGCATTTAATCAAGCTATTTAAAATCTTGGAATGGAAATAAAATTAATTTTTAAGCCAGGTTAAGCTTATGGCATCATGGCTTTTCTTTGTAATTGGCCTTATTTTCATTCATTTTAATTGGTCTTATTTTCATTCATTTTTAACTTTGGGAATAGCCTATAAAGGTCCACAAGAGCATATATTGCAGATCAGGTGTGCAGGATGTGTTGTGTATGTGTGACCATATGTCACAAAATGTGCTCATACATTAATGAAGAAATTAAAGCTCCCCAATGTGGCCACTAAAACCCTTCCCATCATTCCTTCCTTCCAGTGGACCCTCATTTACCACGACTTCCTACTTTAAGCTGAATTTATGAAGAAACAATTCACTTTCCCATTGAAACATTTCTCAAAGGTGAATAACTATCTTCTGTGTTCTTAAACAATATGAGATTATCCCGGTTATGAATTCTGGGTCAAAATTAAGCAACATGATACTTTATTATGAGCTCTTATAGCTTTCTCAGGGGAAATTTATGTTGTTATATATTTGAAAGTTTGAGAATTTCACAAGGAAATAGCTAGAAGATTCTTTATTATTGTTTTCAGTGACTTGAAAACAATGACTGGGAAGGGACAGAACAAGACTTCTAGAAGTTGCGCAGGCTTATACTCGAACTCTCATCCTTCTACCTTTGCTTCCTTTGTTCTGACAGGGCCTAGTTTCCCAGCTATCTCCTTTTCCCTCAACAAGACAGGAAACAAGTGTGAGCCCATAGATCATACCATGAAAGAAGAACAATTATTTTGCACTCTTCTTTTGAAAACCATTTTTATTTTCTGCTACAGCTTCTCTTAATTCTGTTTTGGAAGTCTCATAACACTATAAATTCATAGTTACTTTATTCTCCCTGAACAAAGCCACCATAAAAATGTAAGATTTTAAATAATCAACCTCAGCCTCTTTCTTAAAAGAAAAAAAAAAGAATGTATCGAGAAATATGACAAGATCCAACTACATTAGTGCATGGAAGGGCAACTTAATAAGGCTGAGGGAGAAGGTGCATTATCTCATTGGTGGGGGTGGGCATGAAAGAAATGAAAAACGAAACTGAAAAATTGCTAAATGAAGCCCTGAGTGGGAAAAATGAAAAATCAATGAAGGAACGGAGGGGCAGTAGAAAAGGTACATTTTTCATCTT